TCATTCTGCTACACAGCCACTGGTGCTCACTGATCATTAGGCAGATGCGACTTTATAGGAAAGTCGAGTCTCTCACAAAACAGACTTTATAGCGGATTGCAAATGAGCAAAACATATATTTGTCATTACATTTTCTTGAATTTTTAGTTAATTAATTGTTTTCAACTTTGGTCACATGAAATCAAGAGTGATTAATAGTTGAATCTTACAAAATTGATATGAGTAGGCTTCATTTTTTTTCAAGTTCGGGGCGGACATCAGTTTAAACTTAGTCTAGGTTTCATCAGCCCCCTATGGGGTAATTGAACTTGAGTAGCCCAGCCTATAGTCCCGACACATTAGTCACTATGTTACACTGCCATGAATCATTTTGAGTCACAGGGGCGAATGGGATTTAAAGGAGGCCCCAGCCTTTACCATATCCCGTGAGGTCTACTCATATGAATGTGGAAAAATTCAACTACTAGTTCTTCATTACCCCAAACGAAATTGAGTGAATATTCTGTTATTTAAGATATACTGGTAGTTTTGAAAATGACTAAAAACTTAACAATTGATCCGGTCACAAAGTAGATAGATGGCCTATTTCCACTACTTTGCCAAGTTTGCTTCGCGCTCTATTCATAAAGTGTCCGCTATATGCTTCCAAGGGCAAAAACTATATATTCAGGATGTTGGCCAAAATTTAAGAATGTGCATGGTGGATTAAGTAGGTTCGAGTAAAATTAAAGATGAGCAATAATTGAATTTGGCTACTGTAGGTATATAGACTCAAATAGTATCATTTTGAGTTTAATCACGATTTTCTTTCTATGTAGTGACTGGGTTCGACCTTATGTTTTCAGTACAGCGTTCTCTGCCACTGCTGCCGATTTCCTTATAAGTAAAAGAACCGATAACTGTAATATCCCCAGGAATTTCGCCGGCGTTGTCACCTCCCTTGTCGATTAAGTAATTTGTAGCTGCCACGCCAGTGGAACGCCTTAAAATGTATCCAGTCATCAGCCCGATAATGGAGGAAGTCATGACAACACTGGCAAATGAAGATGAGGGGTTTACATTATCTGAAGTCAGACAAGCTGCAAAACGGGGTCATACTAACTTAAATGTTACTTAGCCCTAAAATAAAAATAAAATAAAATAAGTTTTTTAAAAATATAACAAAGGATGAGTCACAAATTCTAGACTTTGCCGAGAATTTAAAAATCCTAAAATTCTCTTTGGCTGAAAATACATCGAGCTTTATAACGAAGATTCTCACAGCATAGCCGTCTTATGCATTCGTGCAACAATTATTAAAGCTTGAATGAGTGAATGGGAAGTTTTGTGCATTCTGCTTTCTACAGCTTGTCCTGTTCACCTTTTTCGTTTCTTTGCAGGTCTCTTCTTGGCTGCCACCCTCCTCCACTGGTATGTGCTGGCTCAATGTAGGTTGGGATGCCAAGTATCCGGCCCGTGTTTTTGCGTCTATGGCCTCAATCGGCTTTCCCTGCCAATCAGACTGAGCCTCAAACATTTCTCCCTCAATGCCTCCGCCCATCAGCCGCAGTTCAGGCTTGGTCCCCGGGTCTCGCCAAGGCTCTAAAGCTGAGCCGCTGTTGGCGAGACTGGTTGCACTCATCGCCCAGCCCGGAAAACTCATCGTCGAGATGGAGCCCGATGCTAGAGCCGACGCATGTCCGGAGAGCCTCATGTGACCGATGGCATCGTTCACTTGTAAATAGGACAGCCCTTCACCACCTTGTCGTTTGGCCATTCTGGGCTCAACGGATTTGCTGCGCCGCGTTGATGCTTGCCATTGACGCCAGTAGGCCAAGCGCTGTCGACTCTCCTCGGCCCGATTCCACAGAACCGACTCCATTTTGGTATCAAATTTGAGGCCGAGCTCCTGGCCGGGCTCAGGCCTAGCATCCACAAGGACACCTCTAGGATCCACATTCGCCTCCGACTCAGCACTCCCCCTTAACGACTCTCTTGGATCGGATGGCGCTTCTCGACGCTATGCATACAAAGAAAGAGGGAAATTAACACATTACAATAAAATAAAATAAATAAATAACGATTGATAAGCTAATATCTTAACATGCCTCATATATCTGATTTGGTGATCGTCCCAGAAACCTACTTGCAAACAAAAAATAAGTAATTTAATAGATTACAACAACAAATACAACATCGAAAATCCCACCACAGAATGTTATATGGGAAAATGTCTGGCTGTGATCCAAGAGAACTTGTGACAATGTGGCGTATTGGGTAACGGGTCGAGATTACACATTGCATTGTCGTAGTTCGAGTCCAGCTGAGGGTGCTGATGAGACCAGCTCAGGTAAGGTCGAAACTGCAGTTCAGTCCAGCCCAGATGTGAATACCTTATGAGAAAGCAAGTCTATGCAAAATTAAATTAAAACATAAGGTCTATTCACATGATTGTGTTAAAATTCAACTACTAGTCCTTCATCATGTTAAAAGAAATAGGGTGAAGACATCAGATATATCTGATTTACTGTTAGTCTGCTAAACTAAGAGACGAAAAATAAATAATTACTAATTGAATAGGAACTTTAATCATCCTAGTCGCGTATTGAGGAAAATACTGTTGGAAACATTTCCCCAAATAGTATGAGTATGCCCTACAATACCATGGGATTTCACATAACCTCGCCCTCCCCCGAAGGTACTATCAGACAGGTTGGACTGCAAATCTACTCTGTCTCTTTAACTGGATTCGTAAACAGTTCATGCGAATCATACGGCAACGCATTATCAATCCGTAACATAGTTTCCTGGTACCATTGTGCATTTGCGTCAAAGCAATCTAGGTCACTCTAAATTCGCATTGCAAATGCCCGTGTCGATAATGTAGGCTTGTGTTTGGCACTACGATCGACGAGGTGACTTATATTATAATTAGTTATATTTCTGGTCATCCCATGTCGCATAAATTAAATAAGTACCGAAAGTGAAATTTCCAACATCTAAATGGTTAAGCCACAAAAAGGATAAGAAAATT